GTTTCCCGGAAACTATGCTGCCACACTCGGTCTTCAGCTTCGACAATCGGCTTTTTCTGTCGGACAGATCTCTGGCTTTAACTTTGAAGCCCTGGTTGCACTCGATCGCTTCTTCAATACGAGCTGTATTGAAGTTGCTTAAGTCCCGCCGCACGTATTTTGAGATCTGTCTACACTTCATTAGAATAACTCCAACCACTCTTTTGCACCATCGAACAACTACTGGGTAGTCTGCACCCCTTTTTTATGAATATATCACACACTTCAACCAAACGGTCGTCGTTTGTAATGCGTACAGCAAAGGAGTGGAATTAGTTGCCAGCAGTTTGTATTTTCATCCGATTACAACGTGAGTGTCGTCAAAGTAGGAGTGAATAGGCTTTTGTTGAGCAGTCAGTGGACTTTACCATCTTTGAATAGATTACCACTTACTATCAATTGGGATAGTCGTCAAGCACTGCCTTTTATCAGTTAACAAACGATATTCAAGATAAAATCATAAAACTGTATAATAAAAACACAGAACTTAATGTGAACCAATTTTTAATCTTTTATTCCAACCTTGAATATAGTTTTATTGGATTTGATAGATAATTAATAATCGATTATGAATATAATTGACTAACATCACTAGTTAGACAAAGTAAGCACTTACTGTACGATAGCACAGATTAATAAATTAATAGTTTACCAACAGATACATCACTCCCATACAAAAGCGAAAATACCTACGCTATAATAGCCTGCAAAATCTTAATAATAATATCTGCTGCTCGCAACGAGAAAAAATATACCGTAAGTAAGTAAGCACGAAGAATCGACATTGAGTTGCCCGCCGTGCGACTCACGTGCAAGCGTGTCATCGCACGAATGCGCTAGGGTTGTACCTATGATGATTATTGTAATAAAACGAATGTTGCGAAATACATAACCATATTTTTTATTTGTCAATCAAAATTATTTGAGTTTTATAAAATTATTAAAACAATATAAAAAGATAAATTTAGTTCCTTGTCCGAGTTCTCGGTTATTAAATTTTATCGTTGAAAATATCCATAATCGCATAAATAATTTTAATATATAATCATGAGGAAAACAGGAGCAAAGCAGAGGAAAATCAATGGTTTGCAAAATTTGCAACACGGTGCTACCAGGCCGATTCATTATGACTTTGTCAAAATTATTTAAGAATGCTCTTTCTAATTCTTCAATATAATTATTAAACGTTTCTGGTGGGACTTTAAGCCCACCATAAAAAGATGAATCTGTATTGTAGGCTTTGAAATGAGTATACAGTGTTGTTTCGTCAACATTAGATTTCTCCTGTAACAAAGCATTGAAGCTAGTGCAGTTATGTTTTTTTTTTGCTACACTTATTATAACAAATACCTTGGTACATAAGTCAACGCAAAAAAAGACAATTTTTCATTTGGTTTTTGACTTTGACACCCATCCCCTATTAATTTATTGTAATTACGAGGTTTCGGCATTTCGACGAGTAAACGCGGGTAACTTGCACGGTGCAAGCGCTCAGGCGGGCGTGCGGTAGCACAATATCGGTTGTATCGTGGGCGATACGCAGAGCGGTAGGCATATAACGCGTGGCCTAGAGCGAGTGACGGAGGCCCGACGATAGTGTTATTTAGTCGATTTGAACTTTGAGTTTATTGATATCAACTATGCTGTGTTAGCGTTGTTGATATCAATAAAATCAAAGTACAAATCGACTAAAGAACACTATCGTTATCGCAGGCTATAAGTTTTTCGAGATCTTGTATGAACTTTGCTTTATTTGACTCTCATAACACCTATATGACGTCATAGGGTGTTTGATTTCTTTACGGTGTCTATCACAAAACAAATATTCGAGCTGGCACGGCAGATGTTTTTTCAGTGTAAATATCAAGTTCATTAATAATTCGACCACAGCGCCACATATCGGGTCAGGATTTTGATTTACATTTTAGACACTAACAAACCAAATACCTACTTATATTTACAATATATAACACATAGAATAATATAATACACACATAATAGAACATGGGAGTGGGCGGAGCCCGTGTAGCCACTAAAATATTACTAACTTGACATGTTAGTTCGCACATATAAATGTCAACACGAAATATGTTTTGATGTAACAATAGTTTCCAAATTTCGCATGCAAATTATTTAGAAAATATCAAATTGCACACTATTTACATATAAATACGTATTAAAATTTAAACAATTTTTTTTAATTATGATTTTGAACATTAATCAAAGGTCTAAAATGTGTAAATTAACTCAGTCTGTCAAAACAGCGAATCAGGTTTGTAGTAGTGATAATACGACGTAATTGCTTGTATGTGTGCTCCCGGCGACGCCGGATCTCGTACAAAATAAGTTTGACAGCCATTCTATATTATAGTATTACCTATATTCTATATTATAGTAGACCGCTTTTTTATATAGACAATTTATATAGACACACAACTAACTTCCCAGTGGAGAGAATAAAAAAAATATCAATGTTTTAATATTTTATGCAATTTTTCATTCGGCACAAAAACGACTTGACCGATTTTGTTCAAAATTTAATGAGGTCTAAGTTACATAATTATGCGTTAAATGAAACTGGTCTCATGTATCACTCTTTGTTCTCGAGACACACGAGGCGAAAATTGCATCCGAACATACATACATGCATAGGTACATGTACACAGGCGGACATCCTCTTAAAAACCATACTATTCGACTCTAAAGACCGTGAAATGTGAAGATATGTTAAAATTTCCAATTTGCAAAATCGGACCCATTACAATAACTTCCCACTGGGGAGTTAATAAAAAGTGAATAAGCGTCACTTCGTTTAATAAATTGTGGATTTTAAAAGGCTTGACAACAGCGCCATCTATCAGATGCTAGCGTAGATATAAAACAATGTGGGAATATGACCTTCTTCGGTCAAGCCGTTCAAATGTTTCATAACAATAATATTATTTAATATTAAGGGACGCACTTTCGATTACACATATACATACACACACACACACACATATATATATATATATATATTTATTTTTTTTTTTTTTTTTTTTTTTTTTTTTTTTGATTGATATGATTACGTATAAATATAAAGCCCAATATGAAGACATGTAAAGGTGAAAACCCCAATATGTATAAAGCAACATTATTACATAGAACAAATAGTATTAATAATATTAAGGAAAGTATTGAAATTTACTGATGATGGATAGAAGGATACATAGAGTATGTCCAAAAGATGAAGCGTCCCCGCGATAACTGAGCACAACGGACAAAAACATTGCCTGCAATTATTTAATATCTTACTAGTATTACAGATATGTCTTCTTCACCTGTCAACTCGTCACCTTGCAATAATTGCACCTAAAAAAAATTCAATCTTCTATATATATTTAGTTACTACTTGACATTCAGTTTAGTGCATGCCGATATTTTTATATTAATGGCAATATTAATTTCAGAAAATAAAAACATTTAAAAAAATACCTTGAATATACCGGTTTATACAACATATAAAGGACCTCGTACGATCTGAAAGGGCACTTAGGTGCAACTATGACATCAAAAGAAAATTAATAAAAAATGTCATTTTGCTTAAAATCTAGCTAAAACCTAAATCTGGCAACACCGTCGCTTGCGACAATATCTTCCCCGCAGATTATACAAGTGTTTTTTTTTTCATATTGTCTACAATTTTATATACAAATACAATATTTATTTCATATTGTACTATTCGTAGGACTCCTTTTCTGTATATGATGAGTCCGTTTGGGTTGGTACACCACCCTTATTACCTATTTCTGCAGCTAGGTAGAGTCCGGTCTAAAGGGTATCGAGAACCAGTACGATTATAGCCTGTGAGGCGACACAAAAAAGCAAGGCAGGAGATGGGCAGCAGCGTCTTGTTAATAACAATTAGGCCCGCCGCTGATTGCAATTTTTTGTCGACGTGACTTTTTGTCACTTAGTCAAGTGTCAATGAAGTCAATGAAAATTATATTGAGTGCGCTCATTATGGTGACGTGATAATACGGTGACAAATAGTTGCAGCGGCAGGCAACACCGGAGTGACATGACTGTCACTCGCCCTGTGCATTACTATGGGAGTCCGCTCATTGGTGACTTTGTCACTCGGCCGGCGCCGCGCGTTCGGAGTAGACGTATGCTATTTAAAGTATTTGTTAAATAGTATTAATATATGTGTCAAATTACTCTGTAGATGATTGTAATATTGCAATTTTTTATGCCTCTGATTAATAAAGATTTTTTGTTTAATTAAGTAGTTGATGTAGTTTTTGTTACCTCAAAGTTACCGTTAACCTTTCTTCTGCTGGAATAGCTTTGCAAAGCCAGCAACTCATCAAAAGAGTTTATATACATACGAAGATATTTAGAAAAATTTGGGGGATACTGACGTAATTCAGAATATATAGTGTGGAATTTTCTTTTAAATAATCTTTCCGTGTATATAGGATGCACCCAGTAGCGTTTTTTCCGTTTCATTTTTCTTCTACGTATTTCAAGAGCACAAATCACGGCAACCTCGTTGAAGTCCATTACAAAAATGAACGCGATTTGTTACCCAAGAACAGATTCAGTGAGCGCATCGTGGGTGACAGCAGGTGACAGTAATAATAAATCACGGTGACAAAAAATTGCAATCAGCGGCGGGCCTTAATGAACAATAACTGCTGTTGCGAACGTACTTGTCAAGCGTGGTGATTACAGCTTTTATCGCCCCCTACGAGACAATCTATGGGGAAGGCTTATGTTCAGCAGTGGTTTTTGATAGGCTGAAAATAATTGCTGCGTTTCGATGTCAGGTTTTGTATGTGTGTGCGAGTGTGGGCGCTCGTGATCTTGTACTGGTTCATGGCTACTTCCTCCACGGTGAGCGTAATTGAGGATAGATGTAGATGTGTATGGGTCACAGTCACAGTAGTGTGGTGTTCATGTTGAGTGTGTGTACGCACCTTGTACTGGTTCATGGCGGCCTCCTCGTCGGCGAGCGCCTGCTGGCGCAGCGAATCGTCGATGAGCAGCGCGGCGCTGTGCTCGAGGCGCGAGGACGCGGCCGCGTGCCCGAACGACGATGACGTCGACGACAACGCGCCCATCACGCTCGCCACGTTCTTCTGCGCGCTGCAAGCGGCCGAACCTCACTCAATATACATATTCTATATCGTAAAAGTAAAGTTACGGCCTATATACGTCCCACTGCTAGGCACAGGCCTCACCTCATTTCTGAGAGGGTTTTATAGCTAGGAAGTGTCGGCCGCCGCTGCCCCAATGCGTATTGGCGAACTTCACGTGTCTTCAAAATATTTTTTTCTTATTCCTCAGACATGCAGGTTTCCTCACGATGTTTTCCTTCACCGCCGAGCACGTGGTAAACCAGCACTTAAAATTGCAATTAACAATTTCTTTGGTGCCGGCGGGGATCGAACCCGGGTTACACGCGTTCTGTAATATTTACAGCGAGCGTTAACCATCTGAGCTACTACGGCTTTTACGATATCACCACAATATCTAAAATATATATTTGCATTGCACGTGAAGCAGTTTGAAGAGTTCAGTTGTTTTGCTAAACCTCTTGGCTCTTACAAATTCTAACGCCGGATGTGAAAGCGTGTTCAGCTAAATGAATGACACAAGCCAAAACTAAGAAGAGGGACAGATTAATTACCGAAACAATTAAGGGAATAAGTTGGCAAAACATGTCATTTGTCGTCATCGCGGCAACTGTGTAAAAAATTCTGCCAACTGACAACATACTGGATTATTTTAACTCAGAAAAGCACAAAAAAAGAAGTGGTAATCGACAACGACAGTAATTAAACTATTTAATGCATAAAAATATTAAGATGTTTAGTTAGATTGAGGATATTTTGTATATGTTAAATATGTGCATATTTTACATTATACAATTTTTACGTCACTTAATTGCACTGTTAAATACACTGTTCTTTTTTCATCAAACTCTGTATTTTTCTCGCAAACAACGTATTTTAATATGGAAAACACATTATTTTCAAAAATCTGACCGGGCAACACTGCTGAGCGCTTCCAAGATTACGCACACTAAAACAATGAGTACGTGTGTACACCAGACAACATTACCCGTACAACCACGTACACTTGTACATACCCGTCTTAATATTATTATTACAGCCATTCACAAGTCTACTATAGACAGTAGGTCTCTCCTCTCTCCCAAGGAATATCACAATGCACGGTTCTGAGCCACATGCAGCCATCGACTCACTGCATGTCTTACCAGGTCGCCACTCCATATAGTAGGAGGACGACCAACACTGTCTACCGATACAAGGCTACTCGGAACCTTTCTTCCCCATCGGTTATCGGTTTTACGAGTTATATGGCCGACCCATTGCCACATCAGCTTACTGATGCTGTATAAGATAAAAGAAAAAGATAAACAAAATGCAGGGCGACCCCCCACTAGATGGAGTGGCAATCTGATAAAAAATGCAGGAAGTCATTGGATACAGGTAGCTCAGAAATGTGATGTGTAGTATTTCTTAACAGCGACCTATGGTCAGCAGTAAACGTCTGAAGAGTTGTGATGATGATGAATCAGTATTGGTCAGCGGTCGTGTAGCCTTTGAGCAAAACTGCTAACGGACGTGCTGACTACCGGCATTTATTAACCAGCTTAGTAGATTGCCTGGCTGCTGACTCCAATGGACAGTCTTAGGTTTTTTAAAGTAAAAATATTTGAAATGCTTTAAACATTACTCCAGGTAAGCTTCTTGAGTTCTTGAGTTTTTGAGTTCGCCATGCGCACCCTACCTACCATTAGGCTACTGTCACTTAATAGCTTTTTATAATTTCTATATACCATAGTAATATCTTTAAATTAAGAATAAAACTACGTTTTGTAATCAGACTGACCTAGTCTCGGCAAAATAAAAGGTCTACTCCGAGTGTTTCACAAGTTCTGGTTCTCATTTTTAAGTTGTCAATTTAAAGTTTCAGCCTATAATTATAACATGTAAAATCTTTATTTATAGTCTTCCGTCCGTGTATAGTCCACTATTGGGCGTTTGATTCTTACATAGTTTATTACCACATGAGTGAAGAAACCGACCAAAGGCTAAGTTTCAAAAAATTTAAAGAACTTTTACCTATTTTGGCAGGTTTGACACAAGAGGATAATATTAAGCAAACAAAACGCTTAACAGTTTTTTTATTATATATGTTACAACACGTACGAATTAACTTGAGACTCCGCTGGAATGCGACCTCCTTCACGACTCCCCGCACCGCGTCCCGCGCTGGCCGTGCGCGCTCAGTATCGATAGCATTTTTGTTACGGATACGCGTCTCGACTCTAGTTCGATATTTTTGATAATTGTTTGTTGTTTGGTTTGGACTTTTGTTTGTTTTTGGACGATCTAATGGACGGAATAGAACCGATCGTATACAGTGACAATGAATAATAAATATTATAATAAATCCTTATTAATATTCCTTACTTCTATTCCTTGATTTTACATAGTTTGTGCTGTTCCGCTTATCCAAGATTGATTCACTTTCACCCTAAGGTTGCCTGGGAGAGATTGCTTTTAGCAATAAGGTCGCCTGTTATGCTTTGTATTTTTATTGTGTACGAATCTGTAACACTTTTTATAGTGCAATAAAGTGTATAATAAATAAATTAATAATATTATAAATGAGAAAGTGTGTATGTTTATTTCTTTGTCCTTCCTTGACGCGTTAAATAAAAATAATATTATATATATTATAAAAAATAAATATTTAAAATATATAAAAATGGCAACAGTATATCACTTATTACTTCACCCCTTGCCAGAACATTTAATTTTGTTTTTATTAATAATCTCATGCAAATCTCAAAAATTTCAAATAAAAAAATATTACGACGCATTATTTTGCACGCCGTACACATTGACAATTACGTCATCGGCCCAGGTCTCAAGTTAATTCGTACGAGTTATACAATGTACCTATTGTGCCGGCGCATTATTATTAATAATGAATTTTTGTAAGTCGTCTAAAAATATCTTAATAATATTTTGTACAATTAAAATGCATTAATAAGCATAAAGTTAAAATACATTCGTTTCGAACATTAAGTATTATAGTAAAGGCTTAGTATTGTCTATAAAAATTCATTAAATTTACTAAAACTGCTTAAAATATTCAATTCAAAGGGTATAAAAAAAAAGAAACACAGTCGATTATATTACAATAATAAAGATAAATAATATTATAATTGAAAATGTGTCAAAAAATTTATACCGAGCGTGTTGATTTTTTTATAAGGCCTGCCTTACACACCCGCAGCCATACATACATATATGTAGTGATCAGGTGGCTGTGTATCACCACAGTACTGTTGTACAATGAAATAGTCCCATATTAAGGGCTTACGATACTAAGGTCTTTGATACAAAAGCAATAATATAGAAGGACGCGAGTTGTGGCTTGAAGTCGCCGTATATAAAGACAGTTATGAAAGCATAGTCTGTTCGCTTAGACAGTGTCGGTACACCTGGAGGCACACTTATTGATTTGCTGTTATTTCACTATTTTTTATTGTTTGTTAAATTAATGTTTTTCTATTGTAGACAGAGCCGTGGTAGCTCAGATGGTTAACACTCGCTGTAAATATAATAGAACGCGAGTAACCAGGGTTCGATCCCCACCGGCACCAATGAAATTGTGAATTGCAATTTTAAGTGCTGATTTACCACGTGCTCGGCGGTGAAGGAAAACATCGTGAGGAAACCTGCATGTATGAGGAATAAGAAAAAAATATTACGAGGACACGTAAAGTTCGCCATTGGGGCAGCGCGGCGGACACTTCCTTGCCCTAAAAACCTTTTCAGAAATGAGGGGAAGCCTGTGCCCATCAGTGGGACGTATATAGGTTGTAACTTTACTTTTATTCTAAGAATAGAATAAAATACTATTTTATTCGTATTTCTTACTTTATTCTAGGTTATTGTAATAAAATACGAATGAAAAATTATTAAGGTCGAATATAGATGACGCCTTTGTACGTGAACGGGGTTCTTAACGTAAATAATTATAAGGCACACTACAAACGGCTTTAGATTGCTCTAGTGAATAATATTCATTTTAAGAAGAGACAGTCTCGAAGAACCAAAAACGTAAGATATTTCCCTAATAATATAGTAGCCATAACGATTAATTTTACCTTTACCTTGCATGTTAATAAAGCAAACCGTAACACAGATTGATTAACAAATCGTAATCGCATGGGTATGATACCCGATATGAAGCTATGATAGCTGGTATAAATCACAATACAGAATATATTACCTGGCTGTCTGAGTGGGTGTATTAGCGGCGGAGCCTTTCTTGCCCTCCAAGGTGGCGAGATGACCTTCCAAAGCATCAAGAAGACTGCTTGGCGCTTTTGTCAAGTCCGGTATGTCACCTTTGTCAATGCCAACGTTTTCTGCCACCTGGAAATGGTAAACATACATAATATAGCATAAATATTTAGGATATAGTGTGGAAAACGCCAACATTTTCTAAAAATTACCTGTCTCAACTACACGCGGTATTCAGCAAACTAACAGAAGAAATTCAACAAACGAGCACAGAGTCCACCTGGTAGTAAGTGGATGCTGTGGCAAATTGACATGTTCAATCTACATCTATCCTGGATTAGGAATCAAAATGCACATGCGTTGTCACCCGTAAGGACTGTGACGGAATGCTTCGTTTCCAGAAAAAAGGGTCCTCGGTTCTTTATACTCACCATACGAAATGAATACATACATAATATAGCAGCATTAAGCTATATTACGCTGGTATTCAGTGAAAGCGTGGTCTTTTTCCGGTCGAACGGACCCATTCGTGCTACAACCATAATATAGCTGCAGAGTGGCACTTCCAAGGTCCACATAAAAGGTTTATGAATAAAATACATTATTATTATAGAAAAGTAAACGTAACTAAGCAAACACCAATTACAGATAAGGATCAGCCAATAAAGAACATCGCAGGGCCAAAACAGATATAATTTAAAAATACAAAGACAGTGCTGAAAACTGTTACCTTCAAGAACTCTCCAACTCTATCCATCCTGATGAGGAATTTCTTATAGAGGTCGAGAGCCTCGCGGCAGTTCTTCTTGTTCATGTCGAAATATTTCTCCAGCAGATTGATGATGCCGTCATTGTAGCAGGCGAATAATCTAAAACAAGGAAACTCGTTTGATAGCCCAATTTTATACAAAATACTAGTGTATCTTGGAATGCGTCGTAATGCCTTTTTACCACGCCTGTCCGAGTTGAATTTAATATTTTAAAGTGACATAAAAAAATTGCGTGTTATAGTGTACACACGAACGAAGTGAAACTTCTTTAGGTACGACATATCATTCTTCTGTGATTTTGACGTGATTTTTTCATCATAATTGGATCACGCAGAAACGTACACGATAAAGAAAAAAAAGCATTCATTTTTATTAAAAAATATTTTACGTTTCAACGAGTTTAATTTGTTTCTACTTTGTATTGTTTTCTTAAAACTGCTCTGAAGATTTTAAGAAATTTAGTTTCATAAAATTTAAAACAACACATTCGATTTTCAATAAAACCAACGAGTTGCTAGACTGCTGCTCATTCATCGTTACGTGGCAGATCTTCTGTTTGAACGCCAGCCGGAGTAAATCATAGTGCAAAAAACAAATTGTTTACTCTATTAACTTTGATTACATGGTATCGTTATAACAGTTACAGGGGACAGGTATGCAAGTGAGGGTGAGTGCATATCACTTCTATAACTGTCTTGACATTTGTGAAAGTCTAGTAAGAGAAGCCATAAAGTAAAGAAGAAGAAAAAAAGAGGATGAGTGCATCAACAAAATGATGGAAGCCCTTCTAGAGCAACGTACCGACTTTTATGTGTAAAGTTTAGGTGGCTACAATAGATGATACAACACGTGTTAGATTTTTATCGGGTTTGATGTTATCGGGACGATTTTGATAGTTGAAATTGAAATAGGAAACAATTATGTATGCCGTGGTAGCTCAAAGGGTTAGCGCCCGTTGCAAATTTCACAGTATGCGAGCAATCCTGGTTCGATCCCCGCCGGCAGCAACGAAATTGTTAATTGCGATTTTAGGTGTAGATTTACCACGTGCTCGGCGATGAAAAACTAAAACCCTCTTAGAAATGATGCGAGGCCTGTGCCCAGCAGTGTATAGGTTGTAACTTTGTCTAATAAGTACTTTATTCGCACAGTACAACATATTATACACCTATATATGTATATACATACATATATATATATATATATATATATATATATATATATATATATATATATTCACAAATTCTTAACGATAATAAAATAGACTAATCAATTTTCATATTAATTGTAAAATGGACCGAGAAGTGTCTCCGTCAGGTCTGAATCCCCCGTACCTTATGAGATCTCTAAAGAGCAGCATGAAACACATGTTTATGACTCCGTTGGTGAGGTCGTTGGCGGTGCAGTCGAACTCTAGCAGTGCGTCCAGCTGCGCTTGAAGCACCGGCAATGTCTTCAGCAGTTTCTCCGCGTTCATCATGCGGAGCGAGCCCTCCTCCTTCCTATTGGGGCGAAAACAGAAAAAAAGTTACGTATTTTTTTATGGGTGACAAACGAGCATAATGTCCAACTGATAGTAAAAGGATACTGTGGCCCCTAGACATCTATATTTATCCTTGATTAAAAAACAAAACGCAGATGTGTATCACCCCTGAGGACTAAGATGGAATGCCTTGATTCCAGTAAAAAGGGTCTCCGGTTCGCTACATACACCATACGAAACACATCAGCGTTAAGGTGCTTTTTCACGCTGGTATTCTGTGAGAGCGTGATCGTTCCCCGGTGCTTCAACAATAATATAGCTGCATTCGTACATCATTACAATGTAGTGGCGGTGTAACAATATACTACCCCGTATCGTCACGTGCGTATGGAGGCGGGGGGAGGGAGGAGGAGGTGGGCAGCAGATTTTGTGATGTTGGCATCCTATAAGGCAATCCATGGGAGAGACCTATGTTCAGCAGTGGACTTTTATAGGCTGTGATGTTGATTATGAAGCACCAGCTTTCAAATAAAAAAAGAATCATCAAGAGCGGTCCACCTAGGAAAAACTTACGAGGTAACAGACATAAAAAAATATTGTTGAATTGAGTACTTACCTCCTTATTAAAGTCGGTTTAAAAGAAGCAGATCATATAAGATTTTTTACGTGGTAGAGCCATGCTGCATTTATATTAGTAGTATAGTTGTAGCACGAATGGGTCGGCTCCACCGGGGAAGGACCACGCTCTCACAGAATACCAGCGTCAAATAGTAGCCTAATGCTGCTGTGTTTCGTATGGTGAGTGTAGAGAACCGGAGACCCTTTTTACTGGAAATGAGGCCTTCCATCTAAGTCCTTACGGGTGACAACACACCTGCGTTTTGATTCGTAATCGAGGATAGATGTAGACTGTCTATGGGCCACAGCAACCAATTACCATCAGATGGACTGTGTGCTCATTTGTCACCGTTATCAAAAAAAAATTAATCATTTTTCTAACATTTTAATTTGTGGAGGTTAGAAAAAAAAGAAAGAGACAGTAAATAAATTTGGACATGCAGTGATTGGTGGCCCGAGTAACATTTGTTAATCGCCATCCTTTTTACATCATTCGGTAATGTAGTGAAATGTAAAAGGAATAAAATGTGTGTGAATATGTGCCGTTACTGTGTTTGTAACACTTTTTCGGTGAATTTTTTGCTTAAGCCACATTTATAGTAAATAAAATCATTGCTTACAAGATTTAAAAAAAAATCTTAGCTGAGAAGTTTGTAATTACCAGTTTTGTTATAGTTTTACTCACCCTCTCTTAACTTTGCAGAAATCGAAGGCGACCGTCCGGTATGACAATGCCTTCTCATTCAAGTACTTGGCGTAGCGCCGGATGAACGGAGACATATCATAGCCTGCACAAGTCCAATTAAACTAAAATTAACCTAAAGCGTCAGAAAATAAAATTCATTTTCAAATATTACCCCTATTGAGTTCTTTACGTGCAATTCAGATCACTTCGTAAAACGATTGCAGACTCAAAGGTAAGCTGTACGGTGCATGTTAACCATATAACACAAGCAAATGGCTTTATACCCTGCCTTTTTAGGGTTTAGATTGTCAATTATTCAAACAAACCTGATGTTCAAGAACTGCGAGGTCCGTTAAATAACATAAAAAGCATTTCACAGATGTACACAAACAAGGCAACGATGCATTGAGGGTATATTGAATTTTAATAACCCTCAATGTAAGGTACAAAGCGTATATTTGCCATTTTTTTTTCTCCAACATTCTATATGCTAGAGCTTAGGATTTACCATTAAAAGCTAGAAATTATGTAAACAATGTTTCAGGTGTTTGTAACACTATTAGGGTCGTTAAAGGTTTATAATAAAATTACGAAATATTCAAAAGATATCAAAATATTTCGCATATTTATAAACATTATTCATCTTTATAATTCAGTAGTGAAATAAGCTTTAAGAATATTAAAAAAATATATGAAACATTTTTAAAAACTACTTGGGATTGGCTCTAATACATATTGTAAGATATTATAAACAAAGTTACGAATCTATTAATCTATTGAAATATGATTTCAAAAGATAGACCAAATGTTTTCTGCACATGCCGATAACTTGTGTAACAGTGAACATATTCCTAGTATAATAATAGTTACGATATCAACATATAATCTTTGGCATAATTTAAGCAAACTGAAATGGTAGTGTTTTATGGTTATATCACTTGCCTAATATCGTAATAGTTATAATTTAGTTTTTTTTTACATAATTTCTAGCTTCTCGTCACGGAGGCTCGCTAAACTTGACAAGATTAGATGTCATGTTATGCGTTTTACTTATTTTTTTATTTACTAATTCTTTTTTTGGGCATTGATAACATTGCACAAGTTTGACTTTTAAAAATAATACCAATTAACTACAGTGCATCTCAAAGCAAGCAGTGTGGCCGATAGAATTAATATTTCCTTTATAAATTAAAACGTGCAAAAATTTAAGTTAACTGTAAGTACCTACATGGTTGACAGTCAGAAACTACATCAACTAAAAGTGGCTGGGTTGCCATCCTTCTAAAAAAATATGGCACAAGAATGAATAATGAAATGAATGGAAGAAGAACTTGTTTCTCAGAATATACAATTCTAACTAGTGTCTAGCTAAAATATCAAAAATATATTCAATGAAATAAAAAGGAACATTAAAAAAGTTAAATTATTTCAGTGTTGTTTAACAATCCAAAGGTTGTCTGAACGTAATCACTGAACGATAAAACCGTCCATTATACTTCCTTTTAATTTTATATCTACGTTTGTATTTCTATTTCTTTTGTCTATTTTGGTGTATTGCAAACAAACCGTCCGTCTGAAATTGTTAAAATAGAAAAATGTTCTTTCAGCAGAGAATTATAAAAGAAAATTTCTAGCGTAATATTTTTATATAAAACCTTTTTTATTGCTTCATTAAATATGGAAATGTGAGGTTAAGGAGGAAGAGGGACTGCCCTGATTTCTAGAATTTTCAGTCTTCCAAAATCATAAGGAGTTTTAGAAAATACAGTTAAGAAATTGAAAGGGAAATATTATTGGAATTCGCTTAATGCAACTCAATATCCGATATAAATTAGGTTAAGCATTTTGTAAATAATAGGTAAATACAATAAAACAAACATCTATATCAAGTGGTTAGAATAGATTAAATACTGGGGCTCGTTTTTAGCCTACGGACTAATATCATACGGCCTACGGACTAATATAATATATATACGGATTTAAAAGATTGACTCAGTAAAAATTAAAAAGTAAACTACACGCTATGAGGTACTTCATCTTAGTAGTAGTTAGGTGTTTCATATGTAGCCCATTTCGTTTAAAATTGGTTGTAAGTGGCCAGAGGTTACATAGATCACTTACCATTAAGTGAACTTGTACAATCGTTTTTCACTCTAATATATTTTTTTAATTAGGCAAATAAAGAATAATTACGCGAATATCATTACACATTAATAAATAACTATTTTATGTACATAATTACACTAAAAAAGCACTTGCAAAAGTAATAATGTTTATTTAGCATATATATAATAGCAATCTACAAGGGACACGAAGTATCGATAGATATTAAAAATGATTTATTAAGTACTTAACTATCAATGGTATAAAGACCGATTTACATTTTGACAGGTACAGTAGCGAGTTAAGTTACAGGACAGTTTACATTAAACGGTTAAGTAGGCAGTAGCGTTCAAACAATGGTCTTCGTGGCGAATTTAGTTAGGGACAGTAGTTCACAGAGTTCGTCGGAGTATGACGTTTCAAGACTACAGAATTTTTCTGGTTTTCGTTCAAGAATTAAATGATCCAGTCAGAGAAGCATTAATGGTTGTTTTTAAAGAAGTTTTTAAGAATTTTCATGAGTGCAGCATCTCGAGCAAATTTCATTTTACAATTTGAATTTCTACTATTACATAAACATTCGTTATATTAATACTCCTGTACAAATTTATACGTGGTATCTTCCGTCCATTTCATTAATAAAACTCAATATAAAACGTATAAATATTCAATAAACAGTATCGTACAAACTTTGTGGCGAGTTTAATCATAAAAGTACAATTGTACGTTTCGGCGCGCAAACGTTGCGTCCTGTCAACTTATGCACTGAACTAAACTCGCTCGTTTACACGAACGGCGAATTTAGTTGCGGGTGGCGGCAGACGCGCGGTAGGGCAGCACTTCGCACTTAACTCGCCGAAAAATAGCTCGGCCGGCTATCCCGTTCAACTTAATCGTTAACTTGCTACTTAACTCGCTTATTGCCGTTCAAACGAGGTTCAAACTTAACTCGCCAGGTTCGCAAGTTAACTCGCTACTGTACTTATCGAAGTGTAAATCGGTCTTAAGAGAAGAAGTTTAGTATTGTCTACGAACCAAAATTATTGACAGTATATGTAGATACATATTTTAATTTTGCAGATGGCAACCCCCATTTTAAACTTTACTTTTACTCCCTACATACATTACTTACATGATATGACTGGCATTACATTAATATGAGATCTATCACTTAAGACAAGAATTAACATAAACAATTACTAGAATAAATTTAATAGTTCTATATTTGTGCAAGTCATAAAGGATGATGTGCTCTCCTACTATGACTGGGATATCACAAAATGAAAAAAAAAGTAAAACTGTGTGCATGAATACATTATTTTCACACAAAGTATGTCTGTAATTCAAATGGTGTGACTCTTTCTAGACGTAATACTGAAAATTGTTGTGTATTTTATAGCTGTCGCATACAGCCACGACTCAACTCCCAAGTAGCATTGAAACTTAATTGTTATTCCGTGACACATACAGATGATTTTTGTAAACAAAAAAACGATTTCAGATCGGCGTCGTTTACAAGATTAATATATAAAGAAATAAGACGCGTTTATGACGCATGATCAAGTAGTTGGCGAAGCATGCCATCATTCTTCGTACACCAATTGCGTGTAGTTTACTTGTTAGTGCGTATGCAGTCGACTGATGGAAGGAACGCTGACCTGGCGGCTTGTTGGCGCGCAAATGCAAGAGATAAGTCGGTGATGGTTTCATGTTGAGTCGACAAATTTTTGTTTGACTGGATTTGAAGGAGTACGTTAGAGCAGATAGAATGACAGGACGAGAAATGATGTAATAGGACAAGTGACGTCCGAAAGATGATGTAGTGACCAGGATTAAGGCTATAAGGATTCTGGCTTCCGTAGTTTGGTTATGTAGAAAGAACGAATGAGGAATGAGTGACAAAGCAGTTTATGTTGCAGATGGGAATGGCAATCGTCAAGGGACACCCTATAACGGAAGTTTATAAACCAAATTAGCGATATATTGAAGATGGGCCAAATTAAGAGTACCCTTATAACCAACGTGCATGTATGCGTAGTTATACCTATGTAAAGGGGGCAAGAGTGGGGTGTCAGGATGGTGCCATATGGAAGTCCGTAGTCTCTGCCTACCCATATGTAGGGTTTTTTTTTCTTAAGTAAGGTGTAAAAATTAACACCAAAAACAAAAGTTTTCTGGCACTGTTAACTATAGAAATATGTACTACTAAAATACAACAGTGGTTCTAGACCTGATATCAATCAATGTAGAACTTGTAAACTAAAAGTCGAATTAAATTAATCAATGCACACATAATTTTATCTCGTATATCAGTATCAATTTCATTATTAACACGATAAAATAGATAAATATCTTTTATAATTTTGCGATATCCCATGCATTATGATTTTTATGATTTATGAACGTTGCACTAAAATGAGAGGAAAAAAAGTATCTAACCAGTTTCATCCGTTTCAGACTTCCTGTTTATATTGTATTCGAGAATGACTATATTGCGATTTCATATAATATGCCTAAAATAGTCATTTTTAGGGTTTTCGTAATAAGTTTTTACTGGCTAATGATCTTGACAGTTGACATATTATGATACGGTATGTATGCTACTAATGGCATGTATCCAAAATGGGGGTGTTTATAGTTAGTACTGTAACATTTTGTCCTGTTTAATATGCAGTTTATGAGAAACGAGAATATTTCATTAATTTTATGTCAATCAAGACAGTTTCTTAGCGTACAACTAATCTAGTTTCAATATATTCTTTTAACTCTCAGATGTTTCATTATTTTTAGGCCAGACGTTAGCACATGTAGAAGACTAATATTTTTATTGAACTTACACTATCGCTAGTTTATTTTCGTAGAATAATAGGACTTAAACAAATTAAGCGTTCATCATTATTTAAAATGTTTAAATTCCAAAATACAATTAGATATAATTACTTATTTAGAAGTAATCATATGTTCTTAATTATATGTTCAGCATGAATAAAATTAATGCTTGCAGCTAATGGTCATTTAGGTGACCGCATTATTGACTGATTAATCGAACATGAACAAATGATTGTAAACATGTTATTTTGGTCTCTCTATTAAATTATTACGAAAAAAAAATAGCTTATCTAAAAAAATTACAACAGCGTGAAAAGAAAATAGCGTAAACATTTACTGGCAGTCGAGTAATTAAAAAAAAAAAAAGAAGTTGGTAAGACTAAAAAACAACAATTGCACCCACATCCAAAAGCGTGTTGGCAACACTACACAGTGACATCACAAAATCAAGCTGCCATATTGTTTCAACTCACCGATCCGGGCCCCGGCCGCACCTTCCCGAAAGCGATAGGAAAATTAGAAAAACAAAATTAGTTAGGTACACAGCATGAGAAATGTATCAAGAAAAAGTTGATTATCGTCGTAATTTTTTTATTAAACTAAAATTAAGTCAATGTTTATTTTAATAATATTGGAATCACGTTACTAGTATGACCTAAAATAAAACAGGTTATAACATAAAGTGCGGTGTGGTGCTATAGATTTTCGGCTTGATACCTTCGCCTAGTGGCACAAAATTAATTAAAATGTCATTTTAACTTAATCATTCGACCTTGGTATCCACTGCTGAACATAGGTCTTCCTCATAGATTTCCTCAAAGGGGGATATTTGCCATAACTGCTACGTTTGGCAAGCAGGTTGGCAACGGCAGTTTTTTTAATTTTTAGTCTTTATTAGGAAGACGCTGCTGCCCATCTCCTGATTTGTTCCCATCTGTCGCCTGTTACGACACCCACGGGATGATATGGGGTAGTGGGTATGTTTACACCGCGACTATGTACTTAATAATGCACAATAACGCTCAAAATGAATTTACCGACTTCAAAAAGGAGACGGTATTCAATTCAACTGTATGTTTTTTTATGTGTGTGTTACCTCATAACTTTTCTCTGGGTGAATCGATTTTGATGATTTTTTTATCTGAAAGCCGGTGCTTTTCGTGTGGTTCTATATAAATTTAATCAAGATCTGACCTGTAGTTTTTGAATTATCTTTAATAATGCATATTTAATTGACTTCGAATACATTGGATTCGGTTGTATTGAAGTCCGTTGTAACTTGTAACATTTATTTTTATTTTACCACTTATTTTTACGGACACATTTACATTATACTGTATTATATAATATTGGATTTGTGTTATGGATATATAGTAGAATAGTATAGCGTAGTGAGAGTAAATGAGCTTTACAATAAACATTGAAGCCGTAACACTGTGTGGCCACACACACCATATTTTTGACAAGGATTTTATTTTTCACAATAATGGAACTGGACGAACTTCCTTTGATCCTCGTATATTTCTTACATGACAAACATTTAGGTTTATAAGGACTTTCTGTCGTTCTCCCCTTTTTTTAAAGTAATAAACACACGGTATATCAAACGTGATATGAATTATTAGATCGTTACTTTTATCGTTATTTATCATTTGTATTTATTATCATAGATCGATAGTATGACCTTACCCGATTTACCGGGTGTCCTTAGCTGATATGATTTTCGTAATTCTTCAGTCGAGGAACAACTTTAAGAATAATTAGGCATTCGAAAGTCGAACAAAACGCAACATGCAACGCGCACTATTCATTTTAATACCCAACATTATAGTGAAATTGATCCAGGTCTCAAAACAAGTATTTCTAGAATTCTGAATTCAGACATGCTAGAATCTAAGTACGATGTAGTAAAATAGCTTACCCTATTTACAGTGCACTTATATACTTACTACATGTGTATGTGTGTGTAGTATTATTTTACATTTACATCCCTTATATACTCTTGTGACATTGTTTTGGTGGTTTAAAACTAATTAATTTCCATTTTTCTTATCAGTTTAATGAATACATTTATATAGGCCTAAATTATGCTACAAATGACAAGTCTTGAAATTGCTTAAGGCTCGATAGCAATTGGCCACGTTGCTAATGCCGCAGGTTCGAACCCCGCAAAGATCGATTGTTTGTGTGGCCCACAAAACTTTTCCTGGGTATAGATGTAAATCCACGTGCAATTTATTTATGGGTTTCATAATACAGAAGAATATCCTAGTGTAGGTTAAATGTCATTAAAATAATACAAACTCTGTCGTGTTTCGTATGGTGAGTGACGAGATTCGGTGTCCATTTTTTCCAGTGACAGACCATTCCATCTTATCCTTTCGGAATTAAAATGTAGGTATTACTCTAATAGCTGAGGATTACTGACCTCTGATTATTTATTCATTCCGCGTGTAAATATAGAATCGAAACCATTACGGATCTAGAAATTCATACCGCCTCTTGAAACGCTTGGAGGCCACACGTTAAATACTCCATATAAATATACTACGGCAACACTTGCCTTAAATAGAGTCAGCCGTGTTCTTGTGGTTTTATTTTGGTTTTACTACTTTATGGATCAAGAAATTCATACCTCCTCATAAAAGCCTTGCGAGGCTACAGATTAACCTTTCAACCGCAATAAAAATCCCATGCAATCGTATGCGCCCGGCATATCCCGAGCGGTTGCATGCGACCGTACCCACCCACAACTTAAAACCATTAAAACTTATATTTAGAGATTACTTTTCTATAAAGAAGTTTGGCATTATAAAATCTATACAAAATTCTCTATCCTGTGGTCTAAACAAAAGTCAGGTTTTACTTCATTACAAAAAGATTTTATTGTATTTTGATAACAAAAAAAACATACCAAGCGAATGTAGGCAGCATGAAAATCACAATTATTTCAATATATATTACTCAAATTTATTTACGTAAAAGGATAAATTATATTCACACAAAAACTTTCATTACAATTTTATAATAAAACACTAGAAAAAAAAATCCAAAAATCGACACAATAACATTCACGCAAAAATAGCGTACGAAATGAACGTAGATTATAAATAAATATCCATACGATAACTGTTTTTTATTGCACTAGAGGATAGAAAATTTCGTATTGATTCTATAATGCCAAACTTCTTTATAGAAAAATGGTCTCTCTCTCTATATATGTATGAATATATATACAGGGTTACAAGAAAAATTGTGCTAGATCCGTTAAGGGCGTGGAGTACCCATCATTTCTGACTTATTTTACTATGAAACACCCTACCCTAAACTTAACCCTTTTCGAGATATTCGACTTTTAATTTTTTTATTAAAAATTGCCGATTTTTAGGCTACTACATTTATTTTTGTTTATTTTGTGTATCTTATTATTATTATTATTACATTTTTACATGTGTAATTAGATGCTTTAGGACGTCAATCATTAAAATAGTGCATAAGTTAATTGAATAGACCGTAGTAGACAAGTGAAAGTAAAGAAATAAAAAAAATATTGGAAAGTTTATTTTTCTCGAAGGGATATCTAAAAAAAATTATATGGCAATTGTTTGGCAGATGTTTTTTTAAATATCTACGTTTCATCAGCTATCTAATGAGGTATAACAATCTAGGGTTTGTATTACATTTCGTCGAAAAAAAGTAGTTGGGACGATCCAGGTAGCAGTTCTAACGGTCCCGCGCCTATTGTCCTTCAAGTTAAGACGCAACAAGCGAGCGAGACAAGTAACGATTTATGTAGGTGCGAATGAAAGAAAAAATGTGTAGAGACCGGTTAGGGCTGGGAATACAACAGGGGGTATTGTTTGGTTGTCACTTGTCAGTCTGCTTTTGTGCTTCGTACATAGTAGATGCGATATCGTTTTGCTCTTTTTCTCGACTTGGCTGCGATTCTAGACTATTTCTTCTGATTTGTGACTACTGTGCTTGTTAACCAGACTCTGATTTGTACCTGTGATACGGAAGTGTTGAAGATGACGTCCTACACATCTGAGGAATATGCTGATATGCTTATTTGTTACGGATACTGCGATTGTGTGTCTGCGCAAGCTCGCAACGAATACATAACTCGCTACCCCGGTCGTCGAGTGCCGGATGTGGCGGTTTTTGACAGAGTTTATCGAAGACTTCGAGAAACTGGCTCTGTTTTGAGACGAAATACAGACATGGGAAGACCACGAATTGACGACGAAGAACAGGACAATGAGATAGTGCAACGCTTTCGAGCGGATCCGACTACTTCCACTAATATTGTTGCCCGTGATCTGGGACTTTCGCAATGGAGAGTGTGGTTTACGGTGCATACTGCTGGCCTATACCCGTACCATTACACGCCGGTACACGTTATTGAAGAAGGAGACCCCGCGAGAAGATTGGACTTTTGCAGGTTTATGCTAAATGCTGACGTAGAAGACCCAGATTTTCTAAGAAATATCTTGTGGACGGATGAGTCCAAATTTGATAAAGATGGCATAACTAACTATCACAACGCCCATTACTGGGCCCCAAAAGTACTAAGGAATCCCAATAAGAAAAGAGTGAAGGGGTCCCAACGAAGATTCAGCGTGAATGTGTGGATGGGCATTATCTCCAATCATTTGATTGGACCTTACTTTCTCCCGGATAATCTAAATGCGAAAAAGCTACGAAAATTTCCTGAGAGCAGACTTGAGTGATTTGCTGGATGATCTGCCACTCAATCTGATCAGAGACATGTGGTTTCAACACGATGGCTGCCCTGCCCATTTCAGGAGAAGTGTCAGGGACTGGCTGGACACAAATTATCCAAACAAATGGATAGGACGAGGTGGGCCGTTGCCATGGCCAGCAAGAAGTCCAGACCTAACCCCCATGGATTTTCATGTGTGGGGATGCATGAAAAGTCTTGTATACAGCAAGCCGAATCCAGTTTCGTCTGTGGAAGACTTAAGAGAAAGGATTGTGGATGCAGCTAATAAAATTAGGACCATGTTGACCACTGGAGTAATGAAGACTGGTCTCCGTAGAAGGATGCGACAATGCATCAGAAATAGAGGCGGCCATGTTGAACATGAACTGTAGAATAAGAAAAAGTTTTGTGAAAACCTTTAATAAATGACATTTCACTATTGTTTTATTTTACTTTTTTTCGGCTAAGTATAAATTTTCTTCTTCACTGTCGCCTATGAAACTAAAGTTTTTTCAATGCATTTGAATAAAACCTTAGAGTATTATACCTCGTTAGATAGCTGATGAAACGTAGATATTTAAAAAAACATCTGCCGAACAATTGCCATAATAATTTTTTTAGAAATCTCTTCGAGAAAAATAAACTTTCTAATATATTTTTTATTTCTTTACTTTCACTTGTCTACTACGGTCTATTCAATTAACTTATGCACTATTTTAATGATTGACGTCCTAAAGCATCTAATTACACATGTAAAAATGCAATAATAAT